CATCTGTCCCCAAGGACGGAGACCGCCCCATCGGCCTCCGCCGCGACGGCCTGTCCCTGCTAGGCCGCCTCCTGGCGGAGGAGCGCTGCCGTAGCCGCCGCGGGGCGCCGGGCTGCTCTGAGGCACCTGCCCGCCAGCGACAAAGAGGAGGCCGAGGCGGGCATGGCCAAGGCCGTGACTCCGACGATGGGTTTAAATAACGCTCACGGGGTTGGAGAATCGGTAATTAAGCCAAGATTAACCAGCGCTTGCTCAGAACGAGGAACGTAACGCCGTCTCCTCCCAGCGCGCGTGCACCGCAGCGCCTCTGCAAACCGGCCGCGACTCGAACCCCAAAATATTTTGCAACCGTAGTCGGAGCCGCCGCCTCCGCTGGCGCTGCCCGTGCTCCCACCCGCGGGGCCGCGGCTGCAGCTCAGAGCCTGGAGGGGTGATGTAAACAAGCACCGCCGTCAGCGCAAGGTAATCCAGCTGCCAGTCAAAGCAGCCGAACTGGTGTAACTGGGTGCTGTGAACTCTTTAGACCAACAACTGCCAACTGAGGGGTAAAGGTGGGTATTAGCTGAAAGTAAGTTTATGTTTGTAAACGCAGTAAGCAAAGCACCGCAGCAGTCGCGGAAAGAAGCAGAAGCCTTTCTTTGCCTTTCGCAGCTGCCAGGGGAGTGGGTCTGTTCTCTGAGGCACCCATCACTGCCTCTCCCCAGCAACGCCCTCAGAAATGGACCACTGCATTTTTAAAGAAATAAAGTAAATATGTGGAATTATTCTGGAAATACTGCTACAGTAGGCAATTTCAGTCAGAAAAGCATCCAGCTGAATGCGATAGGCAAGCAAACAGCACAGCTCACACAGCGTGTCAACAGACCACAAAGGGTCTTTGCCATATTGTACCCAGCAAGCCTCGATTAACCAACATGCTCAATCAAAGGCTACTAGCCCTTATCAAGAACAGCAGACTACAATAAGTTTGGTAATTCTAGGCCAAAGATTTTTTTTCCATCTTAAAGCCAAAAAGCATTTGGCACAATCCTCAAAAAGTTCTATCCTCTCTCCTCTTTCCTTTTAGCACTCCCATAAAATCTTTTGCTTCCTTTCTTCATGGTATTTCTGGGAAGCTATTTTGGCATAAGGTCATGCATTTAGCATTTCAAAGAAACTGGTTTAGCTCTGGCAGCAATCATTTTTACATTTAAAAATACTAAAGGAATTAAAAGCTGAGTTTGAGACGTTCAAAATAGACACATTCTATAATAATTTATATTAGAATGGTTTATCACATGGTAATATAGATCATGATAACAGCGGAGCAAATCTGCAAAAGCAGTCTGGCATTATGAACCCACATACATTCTATTAACAATTTTTACTACAAACATCAATTTTTACTAGCTGGTTTGAAGATTATATTTGTTATTAGCATTTTAATACAGTCAAAATCTAAGTAAGCATACTGAATTAGATATTTTTATTTAAAAGGAGGGAACGGGGAAAGTGTTTAGCCACCACTTTAGATGAAATTTGTTATGCATCTCCACCAAGAAGTCTACTTAACAGAAGATTTCAAGTGATCTTCCCAGGCCAATGGAGTGGGAAACAAGAGAACAAAAGACAAAAGAGAGCATTTCAGATATATATTGCAGACAATGAATGTGGCTTTTTACTGTGTTTCAAGCAAATATGCCCCAGTAAATCATTTTGCACCCTGCTTGTTCTGACAACACTCCTTTTCTTGAGTGTTGTAATTCAAATTCCAAATTTTTATTTTGGATAAAAAACCTAAGTTGTAATCCAGAGATCACTACTATTCTCATTCTTTATGTGTCTCTTTAACCTTACTTTGTTTCCCACCTATTACGGGAATTTAACCTTTTGAATTTTATTCTGCTATCTGCATACAAATTGGTATTTTAAGCTCCAACACTGAGCTTTTAAAACATTGAGGCTTTTTCGTTAAATAAGCTTAAATCCAAATGAAAACATCTGGATTTCAGTTTTCTGAACTGTTTTAACAGAAAGAATGGAAACTTCTAAACAATAAACTATCAGACAGTTTGCATTTGGGTTTAGTCAGTTTCTTCTCTTTGCCCAAATACACCATGAAGCATTTGATAATTCTGTATTAATGCAATTTGTCTACTGATAGGATTAAGTACTTTTAATACTCCTGCAATTCCTATCAGTTGTTATAACCGAGCAAGATAACTCGTCAGCTAAGTATATACTACAGCCTCTTTTTGTGTGGTTACTTGTATGCTAAAGCCATACAAATCTCATTGGGGTGGGGAAAAACTGCTTCCCCCCTCAACAAGGGGAAGAGAAAAGTGACTTAAAATAAGCTCCTTCTAGATTTCAGGGATGGGTATTGTTTTATTTTCTTTCTGTAATTTGCCTAGATTCAGTTTGCTGATTTTCTTTGATATTTCAAACCAAGTTTCACTGCACAGCTTTTAGGATATTAACTTCAGCAGGCAGCTTCACAAAGAAACACCTTTGTAACCTGTTGAAAAATGCCTTTTTGTATGAGGAGCTTCACATATGTAATGGTGTACTTCTTTCTACCATACAAGGAAAAGAAGAACACTATTAGCTCTTAAGATAAAAGCAGGTAAACACATCACTTCTTCACTACTGCATTACCTTGTTATTCTAACTTTTGGGAGGGAGGGTGAGGGGAGAAGACAGAGGGCAACACAGGGAATAAGTCACTAGCCAGTTTTTCCATCTCCCAAAACTCTGAAATTATTGAAAGAAAAAAAAAGAAGAATTCACTTTGATTTACTTTTCTGTTAGTGTGCTGCATCATTCACTCTGAATTGTTAGCAATTAATTACATGGATTGCATCAGTAGCAATAAACATATATTCACTTAATCCTTCTGAAATATATTTTTAAGTCACCATAATGACTATTACTGTGAGCCTTTAAATCCTACAAATGTTTCACAAGCAACAACTTCTTAAACCAGTAATTAAGAAGTTAAGAGACCATAAAGGGGAGTAGTTTTATAAAATATGTATATTTCATAACTTTATTCTATTCCTTTTTACATGTGTTACTAATTAAAGTGTTTTTAAGAATTTTTCAAAGTCCTGTATAGAAGCTTTGGCAATCTCTGTACAAAACACCTCATCGGGCAAGGATACTAGCTGGTCCAGAGAGATGTAGCTGGGTTGCGTTGGGTCATACTGGGCTCTTCCCAAGAACGTAAGAAACATATGTCTCTCTTTGATTCGTAAGAGCTTTGAGTTGAAAACCTAAGAAAGGGAAGAATCTTTTAGGTTGTCTAAATTTCAGACTCTGATGAATCTCTAACGAGCATTTTTTTGATGCTAACTGAAGATCTAGGAAGAAAACAAATAATTTGCATCTTTTCTTCTCATTTATGTCAAACACCAGGTAGGTTACATTTATATACAAATTATCTAAATTCTAAATAAATGCTTCATTACAATACGCCGACGTACACACACAAGGGAAATCAGGGAGTGATACAACTCTCAAGCATGTTAGTTTTTTGTTTGTATAACTATATTACTTTTGTGTAATCACAGCCAAGAAAGCGGAGAGGAGACATTCAGGAACAGGGAGCAAGAATACTTAAGCATTTTCCCTATACTGTCAGAAGCATTTATTTATGCAGCTAGATTCAGATGAGCATTGTTATATGGAAGTAATGACCAAGTGACCACATGGTGCAATACAAATGAGTGAACTGCACAGTGGCAACGGAAAAGGTGAGTGGCTGTGCCTCCAGTCATAACACAGCCAAAAGGCACAGTGCAGTGGTTTAAAACAACCACTTGTCTTCTGCTGTAGAGCCATGCCTACCTTTGAAGATACTTGTCACAAAAAGAGTTCTAGACAGTCAAAGGCGAGAACAATGGTAAGAGAAACATGAAATAAATCAGTGGAACATCTAAAAAGAGAGAGAAGTGGGGAAGATAAGAGATGCACACACAGTTAAGTCTTAAAAGCAGAGATCTAACTCTGCATTTCTGAGCAGTACAACTGAAGAGAGATGCTGCTTTAGAGAAGATGATGGTGAAAACATGAATGCTAGAACAATGAAAGTGAGCAGTTTTTACTAAAAAGGAGAGACTGCACTACTGAAGGATTTCATGACGATGGAAACTAATTTGAACTAGGACAGAAAGCTAAACTACTGTTCCTCCTCTGCCTTCCTTGAATTTTAAGAGGGAGTCAGAAAATGGGAAAAAACCTTAACCACCAGTTACAGAGCTAGCTGACAGAAAGGATGGTTACAACAGCACCTGTAATATCAGAGAGGATTTGACAAAAAAATCCTGTATACCTCTTATTTTCAGCATTACTGTCATTCAGGATAGAAGCAAGAACAGATGGAGACAAGTATGCATTTGTGAATGCACAAGTAAATGTCCAGAATATATACAGACAGAGTTGTATTAGCCACATCCTGGAACTCACAGTTTTTGGGGATAGAAGGGAAGAACAGGGAAGAGAGAGGGCAACTGCGCCAAGAACAAAGAATAGAAGAAACTCTCCACTTACCCTTCCAAACAAAGGGAAGGGACATAATGAGGTGAACCACCATGAAGCCAACAATAAGACAACTGAGAAGGAAGTGAGCAAGACTTGTGGTCACTTACAGGTCAAGGAGGGCAAAAGTGACACATGGATTGGAGTTACAGTAAGCATCCTTGTTAAATAAAGCTATATTAAATAACAAGATAAGTAATCAAAATCCTGGGGAGTAGTTTTATTTGCCAATATAATTTTGGCTTTTTAGCCAGTTAGGTTAGACAGTTAGATGCCCTACTACACTTGCTTTAGGAAGAAAATTATTGCAGTTAAGAAGCTGTAATTTATGCTTTCTTTTTTACCTTTTGAGAAGCTAGTGTGACTGCATGTTGGCATTGGATGAAGTGACTAATGCTTTCAACTTTTAATTTGTGAGGAAATAACATTAATGAGGAGATAGAAAAAACCAAAAATAATCATCAGAAAACTCTAATCTATTTTCACTGTGATTTTTTAGCTATTGCTGCAGCAATAGGAAGATCAATGAGAATCTGATTGCCTAATGGGCAGAACTTCTCTTACCTTTAAACTATATTTTCAGATCCTAGAATCCATAAAATTTATTCTTTAACTAGACAAATCTGAAAGAAATGCTTTTATATATATATGCTACCTAATGAAAAGATCTGCATGATCCATCTTCCCTTGTGTCTCACTAGGTAAGATTTCAGGACAAGGAAGCCCTAAACCGGGAGTAATGTCTCTTGCATGGATCCAGAAGAGATGAGCATGACTACTTCTATTTAAAACTTAAAAATTCACAAGACTGGGGGTGGTGGTGTCACATGTGCCAGAGGGAGAAGAAAGGCACTTTCACACTGGAATTCTCAATGGTTGGTGAATTGCTAATAAAAGTTATCCCAATTAGAGTAAAAGCCACAGACAAGTTGAAGAATTCACATGTGTCCTGCATATGGTGAGGCTTCACCTTCAGCACCAAACTAGAGAAGCAGCTGTGCAAAGAGCACCTACGCTTTATTCCCAGATTAACAGCTCACCTGAGGAAAGCGAGTAAGCATGTGGTGGGGAATGCCCATTATGTTGTGCAAGTAGTCAAATGTCTGTTTGAGTCTCTTTTTACTTGCAGTTAAAATCTTGGGGATTTTAAACACAATCTCTTGAATTTCATTACGTTGAAAACCAAGTTCAATCTGACAGACCTGAAAAAGAGCACAATTTTATCTTCAAAAGTCAGCTATAGCAAACTTAGCTTATTTTAACATGCCACTGAAATAAAATAATGCAAAATTTTTCTACCTTTTGTCACACAGCAACAAGAATGCAACCCACAATAATATCTGCTACTCCAGTTCTTCTCAAGTCAGACAGTGCAAATTTTTTATCATTCTGGATTAAAGTGTAATTTGTTTACAGAGTATCCCCGAAGTAAAGATGACTTCTGCGAATGCTATGTATTTTTCAGCTTGTCTGAGATATGAACAAAAAAGCTGTGTTTCAGTATACATGGCAGTTACAAGCATAAAAATTCTCCCCTAAGAGTCTTTCATCAGTTTCAATACCAGGCTGTCAAAAGAGAATGACTTTCTAGTTGTGGAGCTGTTGAGCTCTGTAAAACACAGCAATCAAATAGCTAGTGACTACTTTTGTTAATGTGTTATTTCTTCTGCTAATGTGTCCAAGTTATATTTTTATATTAGGGAGTATAATTTTAGTCCTGTAGTCTTCAACTGAAGTCTGTTGAACCCGAAAGAGATGTGTACAATATGCGGTGTATTCAATTTATTTTACAGTTGGTTAATGTCTAAAGAAAGATGTCTTTTTTCGGAGACTGCCTTGACTTCAATTATGGCTTCCGAAAAGGAAAACAAAACACATTTTTTCAATAAAATCATGAGCACTCCTCCCAAAGTGCAGAATGGCAAGCAGTTCATTGAGTTGTTGAGAAAGGAATTCAGCATACAAGAGTGACTGGTAACTCAGCCATTTCTTCTATCCTCCAGTGACATTTACAAGCAGCTTGTTTTCAGCCATGAAGTGGGTGTGCTTGCCAGTCAACATAACCAGACTTTCAAATCCAACTCAGGTACGTCTTCAGTTGGCAAAAAGGTGGTGCTTTTTGTTTTTCCAGTTTGATGTGCCAAGACTGCAGCTCTTTTACAAAACTGCCTGGCAAATACAAAGAGAAGGGCTTAGAATCTGGGTTTTGAAGCTACCTTAGGACTTCCAGACCCTTACAGGGAATTGTTTCTAGAGGTGACTATAATCAGGTCTTTCAACTCCTGGTTCTTCCTTATCTGCTTTATAAGTATTTGCAAGACAGCATTCAAGTATGAAGAGATGTGTTTGCAGTCTTCCACAGATCTGAGTTGGCAGGGGTAACTTACTGCATTAAGATACACAACCGAGAGTAAGACCTGACGTTGAATCAGTGGAGATGTATAGATTGCCCTGCTGTAGAGGTAATTGTGCAAGAATCTTGAACTGTTCTTTTCTACTCTGTGAAACGGAACAGCGCTCTCTTGACATGAACAGTGAGCTCAAGTGTAAGTTGCTTTGACTGCACTCAGTTTGACAGGAAACATTTGACATTCAGTAACTCTCTAAACCACATATGCTAATATCCTTACTGTGTAAGCCCCAGCAACAGTCAACATACTCTGTATGATTCCCACAACAGGCAGTGGTAATGCAAGCTTTCCAGTTTTACCCTGTCAATGAACCTGTAATTGTGCTTGATGAAACCTTCAGAGGATGGAATAAGCCATCCTTCAGCTCATTTAGTCCATGACGGGTGTCTTTTGACAACCAGTATCAGCTGCTGCAGTTGTTTCTGAATAACAGCCCACTCAGATCGCTTCTGAACTGCTGGTACATGGTTTTACTTCCTGAGTACTGCCTGCCCACCACCAGCTTAGGACATACAGGTCTGAACCCAGATTCTGAATCTGAGACATCCAACCTCCTGAAAGCCTGGAGCTTCTAAGTATTAGTAGATTCCAATAGTGAGGACCTAAAAATCCTTCCTCTCCCTCTAGAACATGTTAAAAATAAGGATGCTACACTATACACTTTTCAGTAGATAGACAAGATAGTCACATAGAACTGAGGATCTTAAAAAATACATTCATTATAATATACTGAATCCCTAGCCTGTGGAAACAATGTTCATTAAAAAGAAAGCACTATTAATTGGAACAGTCTGTTACTTTCCAGTCTCCTCCCTTACCACACACACATTTCAGACTGCAAGATTCCCAGTGTTTAATAGTTTCAGAGCAGTGAGTCTGTCTGAAAATTATATATTTTAATTCATAGTTATGCGTTATAGGATAATGGGATTTCTCAAATTGTTACACTACATCATGCTGTTTGGCCTAGATGGCTTTACAGCACAATAATTAAACCAATACATAGTTACATTTTCAAAAGGGAAAGGAGTCCCTGTGGGTTTAAAGTTATTTACCCAACAGTTTTAATAACGACCATCTGTTATCAGACAATAGGTGTCAAATGCACATTTTGGCAGACTAGCTACCTGCCAAGAGGAAAATAATCAACTGCACATTTCTTGCTCCTAAATCCTCATGAGCAATCCAAGTTAGCAAAAAAACATAATAATTAAGGAAAAAGAAAAAAAAAAGAGGGAGCAAGCCCTATTTTTCACTCGTTGTAAAGAAATGGGTAACAATTTGTGTCAACAGATAGCAACTTTTGGCAGGAAGGGACCCAGATGAAGTTTCTAACCTACATCAGAGCAGAAGACAGAATAAGAAACTGCTCCACGTATGCTGTAAGCTTGCAAGCTATAGAGGAAAAGAAAATTGTTTAACAAAATCCTCAGCTATTTTATATCTCCACTAAAATTATTTCATTAAATTCTTTCTGTGCAGGACTCTCCTCCAGGAATCTTATGTTCTGACAACTCTTAAACTATTAAACTATGTGGATACACAATACGCTTTTAATATCTACTAATAAACTCACCTGAAGATTTTCTTTTACAGGCTCCAATTTGCCAGTCAGTAGCCTTGGAAGACGAATTACCAGATCCTTTGTCTACGATTAGGCAAAACACACAAAGGAAAGATTATTACTGAAAGCTTTTTTGTGAATCCATCTGTGAAAGAAAGAGATCTCATATAAACTTTTTTTTTCAGTTGGAAGAGGGATGCTCTTTTACTTGCATTGCATTTTGTCTCTACCCCAAACATGAGTTTGCATGAAGCAGCAGTATATTAAGATGCAAAAAGTTACTCAAATTGTTCCTCTGGAAAACAAAAAATAACATAGCTGTTGTAAAACAGACAGGAAAAGGGAGTAAAAGCATACCCCGAAAGCAGAAAGCATGGTCAAGTGCCCAATCTCTCTCAGTGCTCATGTTGTTTCTTCCCACCTTTTTAAAAAAACAAACAAAACACTACCTGATAGAAGCTATAAAAGGATTTTTCAGCTGCAGTGGAATTTGTCTACCTCAGGATCTGGTTACACCCTAGTATGATGGCAATACAAGAAATTACTCCACATCCCCTAAGACATGTGATTACAAGTAATCCACCGTGAGTACAAGGCAGTGACTAAACCCTTTTCCAGAGAGATCTCCTACCTCAAACGTGGAAAGGCCAGCAACAGGCACTGTGACAGCTCTGACTGTTCAGCTAATAGAAGCCAATACAAGAACACCAGATTCCACTTGGAACTTCACATTTATTGTAATCCCCAGCTACTGCAGGAAACAACTAACACTGCCCACTTAAAGTCCAGCTACTACCTCTGAAGATCCCAAAGCATGGTGCTAAATACCTGCTAAGCATGTAATGTGGTAAGCACTCACGAGTGAACCCAGGGGTTACTCTTGGTGAGCTGAGCATATGATTTGGCATTTAGTTTGATGCGATATTTGCAGATTAAGACTATTTTTCACCTATGAGTTAAGTATGTTACAGTATCTTGACGAGGTGAAGAGAGCCAATTAATTTTCTAGAAGTTAAAAAAGCTGCTTCCTGTTTCAGCAATGGATTCAGTCCTCTGACCCATTTCAGATAGTAAAACTGGACACACACATGCTTGTTTGACAATAACCTGCAGCAGATCATCTTCAAGAACTGTACTTCAGGACCTTTGAACGTTAGGTGTCCATATTACTTCTATAGACAGTTAAAATCATGTTATCCTCCTGTAACCCTCTATGTATTACCATCAGTAATGTCACTAAGTTTGTGGATAACCTCCAAACACTTGAAGTATTCATGTTCCAAGGCCTTACAGCTGTCACTAGCAAAGTACCTAAAGACTTCAGTGTGTAGTCTTTACCTTTTTTACACTGAGACCAAGTTCATTTTTGAAGAAACCCAGTCTGTTATCCAGTCTTTCCACTGAAAACAACAGCAAATATGGAGCTCTTGAGACCATCTGAGCAATTTCTGCCTTACCAAATTTTTTTGATTTTAGGTAAGCCACTCTAGAAAGAGAACAAAAACAAAATAAAATCCAGTGATGAAAATTTTATTGCCTCCATTTATTCAGTACTTGCTTAAATTCCTCAGTGATATCTTATAAACGGACAGATGTTCTAGCATTAACATGCAACCCTGCCAAAAATAATTAGGGTGAAATCTGCAGTTATCGTAAAAGCAAAATACCATCCCTTCCAATTAATTAGAAGTAAAATAAACCTCAGAGCAGAATGTCAATACTGAAGACAGATTTTAATTCCTTCCAGCTGTACTTAAGCAGATAACTATGTTAACCTACATTTAACTACCAGCCTGTCTCCTAGATTGCAAACACATTAATAGATCATCATAGGGTATGGACAAGAAGATATATACAGCCTTTTGCTATTTTAATGAATTCCATTTCTACTGCTGAAAGAACAGAGTACTATACCTCATACATCCCTGTTTTGCCAATAGCATTGGAGTAGAAATATCATACAACAATGCTATCTGTAGAGACATTGTCCAAAAAGACATTTCTAAATCAGCTGAAGTTACTTTTGTTACAATAGGTCTCTACTTTTAGTCACTGGTCCAAGGATTTAGTTACAAAACATCTGGTTGTCAGAAAGGAGAAGGAGCTGACTAAAGTTTTTATGTTTAACAGAGCTTGCTTGCTTTCTTTCCAACTCAAAACTTTTTCCAAACTTTGTTGAATTCAGTGAAAGTTAAATCCTACTTCAAGTACTACTTGCAGTAGATTATTGCCACAGCTCCCAGAAAAGGGAATGGGGTGGGGGGGAATACAGCACACAAAATAGAGAGACATGATTAACCCACATGCCACCATTTACAAAAAAACTAAACTACAATTTGAAGAGGTTTCCTTTGGTTACAGATGAGCATATACAGAAGTATTTACTGTCAGATGAACTTAGAGCATACAAGAACTGACTTTATCTGGCAGTAATTAAGATACTAAATAGATTGCAGAATATTCTGCAGAAGCACATATTCAGCAAAAGATGGGCTGTGTGTTAAATCATGTCTTGTGGAGAGAAAAAAATAAAAATACCTTTCACTCACTACAACCTCCCTCTCTTTCCACAAACCTTCAAAAATTAAGTCATCACAAGCCAAAAACATCTAGACAAAAGATCCAAGAACAAGCTCTAGAGGACCAATTCCTAACTGAGCAGGCACCCCAACACAGAAGGCAGCAGCCCAGGCTGCAGACAACGCTGATGGAACTAGCTGCAGGAGGCTGAGAGACAAGGAGAGGTTAGGAGTAAGAGAAATGCAGAACACAACAATAAACAACTGGCCCTTCAAAAATTATCCCATTATGTTTTGAATGCTGCACCTTGGCTACACTATACTTCTTCCATTCAATTTTTCAAGGGCACAACTGCCAAGCATCCTAGAAACATAGCTAAATGAGAAAATTAAAAATAAAGCCTTTTGGTTGTCCTGACTCCCCTCCACTTGTTTTCTGTTAAAAAGTCATTAAGATTCACACCTGAAGCATTTCTTCGCATCCTGGAAAGGCAAGAATCTTAAAAGAGGGATGGCAAGATGGTAATAACCTGACTCCAGAAACTGGTATATTAAAGAAGCAAAATCATCCAACCTGACCAAAGTTTGAGATAAATTTCTGAGTGATGGCACCAAGGTTAGCTCTCGTTCTACTACAGGGGTCAGCAGTTCTATGTAGCATGTTAACAGTTTTAAGTCATCATTAACAATACCATAAAACAAAGCATCTGGTGCAGCTGCAGTACAGACACTGATTTGCAACTGTCAGAATTGTTATGAATTATGGAATGTTTTGACTTTTACAGTGTTTATCTGAAGTCAAATGCCAAATCTATTGAAATTTGTGTTTTGTTTCCTGGCAACGTGGAATCCATAGCAATAAAACATTCCAGAGTGATGTAACCAATACCATGTCCATCTGCACCGAAGTGTTTATGCAAAGGTGATACTCAGCTTTCAAAAGACAGCTATCTGAGACACATTCACTTCACGGCCTGCCATACACCCTCTGCAGCACACTTACTTTAAAGCTTGCAGGAAAGCATTCAGCAGTGCCAGATAAACTCACTGAAAAATCAAGCTGCAGAAAAGAAGAAATTGGATTGCCTTGTTCAGTCCCTACTTCACTAACCAGGCAGTGCCACAGGACAGTCACTGAAAAGCAAATCTGACTTCACAGGAGAGTTAGAATGTTTATCACAGCAAAAAATACTCTCTTCAGAAGAATATAAGCAACTCCAACATCCAGAGTCAAAACTAATGCTGAAAAACGACACAGGTTCTTTTTGGATACGGGTTCTGAAAGGCCATTTACTGAAGAGGAAGGTAGAAGAACGAGGAGAAAGTAGAAAAGTCAAGTCTATGTTAGACATGAGTCTACTAATGTGCCTGTTTCCAAAAAGCCGTACCTTCAGATTTCTGTCTTGGACAGCTACTACGTGCAAAGGCCAAGCAGACAGACTCTTTTCTGGAATTTTTAAATACCAAGATGTTTTGAGTTCATTACAAAGTGCACACGCACACACATGAGTTGTTCTGTAAAAGAACTGTTGCATTAATGCAAGCCTGTCAAGTAATTTTAAGAATAAGAGTCCATTTTATGGACTGAGGAACAGTGTAGGGCCGTACAAGTGTGAACACACACAAAAAGTTCATTGTAGTCTTGTGCTCAGTTTAAGCTGGACAACGGGGTGGGGGGTGTGTGGGGGGTGTGTATGGGGGTGGAATCACCAGAACCTTCTGCTGCTATTAGATGTAAACACAGAAGAGATCTGGTCTCCTTCTTTTTCTGCAGAATTCACAAGGTATGAGTAGATATATTTAGAAGAGTGGTTTCAAAGCATGACTGAAGAGGTTAATATTGTTTTACAAATTTAGGTAAAGCCTCAGGGACTAACATTTTGGAATCTAAGCTGACACAGGTAAAGCAATTGGCCTAGGAGGGCAAGCTGCTTCCTCTGTGGCAGAGAGACAGGGATGAGCAGTAAAATTTGTTAATGGTCAGTTTTCAGGTGGATCAGGGTGTTGACTCAACTTATGATACCACCACATGTTAATGCTGACTGATGGGAAGGCACAGGAACACCAAGCCAGGGATCGAGTGAGAAAGGAAGCAGCAGCAACACAGGTTCAGTCAAGGTTAAGCCAACTGGGAAACTAGATCGTCAAGCCAAGGGGCTTGACACCCTGCTGCTATTTAAAAGGCTTACCTGCTTTCTAAAGCTTCCAGATCTTCAGCAAGGATGTATGGATTTTTGGTCAGGAATGGTCCCAGCTGATTGTCTTCTACACCCACATCCTTAAGAAACAGAAGTATTTTTCTTATATCTTTTTCAAAGTCCAAGGTCAGTAAGAGCTGACCTGCCTTTTGACGTTTCTCCACTTGGGATAAGTCAACTCCTACAACAAACAAAATTAGAAATTGCTTTAATTAAACACAGACCCTACTTCCTATAAATGTTTCATGACGACATGTTGAAATTTATAGGACTACTCCTTTTTTTCACTGATTTAGCATACTTTAATTGCTCAACACAGCAAGGTCACAACACCTTGTATGTTGTGGAAAGATTCCAGATAAAACAAGCAGTCATTTTAGACGCTTTCGCTGAGTTTATTTTTTGAAGGAAGACATTTGCACTGAATCCTGCATGTGAGGAATCAAGTACACCAGCACATGCCACGTGTAGAGACCTACTCTTGTTGCACGGAAGTACATGTGCAAGGAATTCCCAACTCCATTATAGAAAGGAAGGGGACAATTTTGCAGTGAAGTGCCTTTGGATACTGGCTCACACATAGCAATTTTTTACTACATGGGCCCAGATCTCCCCCTCTCAAGTATTTATTTCTCCAACCTTTTTCTAGTGTTCCTTGCATTTTTGGGAAACAAGGAGGTGGCCAGCAACCTTGAACTCAGCTATCCCTACACAGTCCAAGTGCTTTTTGGTGAGAAGCAAGGTTTTCTTCCACCCCTTCCTTCTTGCCTCTCCAGTTTACTGTGCCCCACTTCTAAGGTTCTGCACAGCAACTGCTCTCTGTCCTTCCTTCCAAGGATGGAGAGCTGCAATTTCTCGTGCAGCAAATTAAAGCATCCTTAACCATCCCAAAAGAAGACCAATCAAGTTACACAAAGTGCTCCCCACCTCTGGAAGCTGTGGGAGATGCCTCCTTTTAGCATCCACAGCACTAAGGGACTAAAACTAGCCAGCTTTGTCTTCAAGTAATATGGCATTGCTAGTGAGTCATGCAGTCCCCTCTCTTTTTCTGGATAACATTCTGCTGCTTTTAGCCATTGGTTACTGTTCCTATTTTCAAGTCTGCAAGGCAGCCAGTAAGATCAAAATGTAAATTATAGAATCTCCAAAGCTCCAGACACAGGCAAACCACATTAAAACAAACAAACAAAACAAAACAAAACCCCCCAAAACACACATACCTAGGTGGACAAGTTTCGCCAGGGTTTCTGAGTGATCAACATAATCTCGGAGCGTGGAAGACTGAAGAGGAAGAAGCGGTTCTGCAATGATCTGTACAGCTTCTTCCTCAGAAATCTCCTCCAAAGCACATGAAGGTGGGATGTCATCCCAGTCTAAGAAACAAATACAGGAGACCCAAATGCATTTTGTGAAAGACAAAGCTGCTCCCACCAAACACTATACAGCTCTCTAAAAATCCATTTCAAAATGCAAGAATACTGTGCATGAGATGAACAGGCAATCTATTATTATTTGAAAGCATATGAGAACATAGACTCTGCTCCCAGTTTTTGTCTCTGTTCCAACTCCTTGTCACTGCCCATCAACTCTTGCTCACGTGGCCAAATCTGAGCACAGTACCCAGAGAGCCTGCCTTCAGTCTGCTGCCTTGATCACTGCAGACAACAGATCACATCACCTTCTTGAAAAAGAATCTTCTTTCATGTCTTTGCAAATGCATTCCTGCCTCATCATATCCAGATCAAAGGCTACTGCAAAGATTATTTTTCATAACCTGACAAGCCCACTACTTTGTGCCTCTTCTGAATCTGATGCCTGAACTGCGTTTGTTTTAACTTTCAAGGTATTTCACAGCCAACTGCAACCAAGCTATCAAGTCTTATCTATTACAGAATGGCTGCTGACTGCCATGACCTCTAACAGCTAAAGAAATCAAGGTCCATTTCCTACTCAGTCAGGTTTCCAAGTGAACATCATTATGCTTGTTTCCCCTTAAGTGCTCCAAGTCACAGAGCTCCGTGTCTTTTAAAAAAAATATTTCTCTACACTGATCTATTTTTGCATTGACAGGAGCTCACAGCAGCTAGATCAAGATTACTGTTTGCAGACTGCCTGCTAGCATCCACCTCAATTATCAGACTGATTACTGATCAACAGCCCTAATTATAAACTCTTCAGGATGAGGATTTTCTGTGCCCTGTACCTGTTCACAATGACTTCTTAGAGACTAGAGTAACACTCTTCCACATCAAGAAAACAGAGCCACACCAGAACTACCAAGACAGGTTCCAAAGTAAGTAGGATGATTCTAATGTTCCAGGAAGAGTTGCATAGACTCATAGCTCAATAGCTGTTGAAGGTCTTGCCACTTCTTTTTCTCAAAGCCTCAGAAACAAAAGCACAGTAAAACGTTTCTAGCAACATCTACACCTTAAACAGTAATAAGAACTGTCTAGGAATCTATATGGATATAAAGTATTTTCTTTCAACTTGTTGAGGACTGAACCAATATACACTAAGTTCCATTCTGGAAGCATAGATGCCTTCTTTTTGCCACTTCAAGCTCTTTAGACCTCCTATCAGGAAACACACCTCAAGTTACAAAAAAAAAAAAAAGTTAGCAATTATGTTTATTCCATTATATACACTGCCAACTGGGCAAAATGCTCCACACACACATACACAACAGTAAGTCTGCTGGCAGATAAAAAATCTGGCACGTAGATAAACTGCACCGCAGGTGCAGACACATACGAGCTGGCTGACCTGTCAGTTCTGGTGCAGCACTGTTTCCAGAACCAGCTGCACAAACACACAGATCTCAGTTGCAGCTCTCAGCCACCCCAAAAATAAGCTCTGTAGGATCCAAATTGGCTGGGCTCAAAGCAGAATCTGAACATACAAGACTGCTTAGTAATCCAGAGAAAGTTTCCTCAGCATACTAGAATTATTTTCAGAGGGTGGTATTTTTTTTATCCTCACTTAGATATAAAAGTAGAGAAAAGTGAGGCAATTTCCTCAGGGCAATAACACCAAGGCGACCTTGTATCTATGTCCTTTCCTCAGGAGGCAGTTGGACAAGCATTTCTCATCAGGGCAGTGCTTAAGCAGGCTTTCACACTCTGCTGCCTCCTGTTGTTCATCCATGATCATTCAAATGGCTGTGTTGTGCGAGCTGCTTCAGGGGTGGGCTCCCCCACTATTAATAAAAAACCCAAAAAACCCAAACAACCAAAACCAACAAACAAACCCCTTTATTTTGTACCAGCACAACTATGAGGGGAAGGCAAATGCTCAGCTGCTGCAGGTAGACTTATGAAAAGCCCTTCAAACAGCAGCTCCAGACTGACATTTCTACCAAAGCATTTTACTTTTATCTCGGCTTAAAGGTATTCTTTGTATGCTAGAGTGACCGCAGGAATTCCACGTTAGCTATGGGGCTAAAACCAGGTGAAAGTCAGGAACTTCAGATAAGTATTTTAGATAAACAGGCCAAAAAAGGAGAACCAAGGATAATGCTGAAAGCATGATTTGGAGATTTGGGAGAAATGATATCCCTAAGGCCTCTTACCTTCATACGGTATTTTTGCATTCAGATCAGGTAATGTTTCTGCTTTTGCTTGTTCCTGTTTTACTGGTGAAGGCAAGTTACTTTCAGGAGAAGAAAAGGGTCTATCCTTGGCACTGCCAGGTGGAGAACAGCTCTCTACACGTGCATGCCTGTATGCCTGCAATCTCCACGGAAGAACGTCATTTCTAGAGGGCAGCAGAGCCAGAGGGGCGAACCCCCGGCATCCCTGTGCCCTGCTGCTGCGGCCGCTCAGACCTTCAGCAGCACGGGCCGTTCGCAGCAGGCAACGCCAGCGGGAGACCAGCCGAGCCCACGAAGCCATCTTCCAGCTCAGCGCAGCATCCTGCTGGGAGAGAAAGGGCTGAGGAGTAACTCGGGCGCTGCCTCGCCTGGCCCGCAGGGCTGGGAGCGTGAGCCTTAATTCCCTGAGCATTAATGCAGAAACTACTCCCTACAAAGCATCAAGTAGCTGCTTTGAGGCTTTAAACGCGTGACAAACGGAGGAGGCATCACTGAGGAGAGGAGCCGGCTCCGAACGCCACAGCTCGCTGCCCTGTACGACACCCGTGCCTTTGGGAACACGCGGGAGGCCCAGCCGGGACCTAAACCCTCCCCGAGGGAAGGGGCCTCCCGCGCAGAGCCGTCACCTCACACCCCGCCGCAGGGCTGGG